TTATTCTGTACAAAAAGATACGTCAGGGAAATGGTTGATACGATTTGATATAGGATCTAGTAAAGTGTTCCATGATCATTAGTGATAATGGTTCCTGAAACGTTATTGATACAGATTCAGAGACACATTATAAGAAACAGCTGCTACAAGCTTTCGCGATTGCGAAAAGGAGTTTATAACTATTTGCACAGGGTGGAAAACGTGTATTGACTTAGAAAATAGATATTACACGAACGAACTGGGGAGTCGCCAAGGGAATAAGAGAACGAGTAAACTGAAAGTCACGTAACAGAAAGATTTTTAATGTTGGATAATTTGAATTGGGAAAATTTTATGCATTGTGTACAGGGCATACCACTTAACGTAATTACGTAGTTTATTTTCTTCGGTGAAAATGGTTGTGCACGTGCTATCAACCCTAATTGTTCGCATAAGGAACAAGTTAAATCCATAATGTGAAAATTGTTATTAAATTTCATTACACGTATTATAATAATTATTACAGAAATATATTATTATGATAGTGAAATTTATTATATTTTGTTACAATTAGAATAAAATTTATATCATTTTATTCTTTTTCTTTTTCTTTTTAGGCATACAGAGCGAATTTTTGATAACATGTAGCAGATATTAGTAAATCAAATCAAATAAATTAAATTGAATCAATTAAATTAAATCAAATAAGTTAAATTAAATTTTAGTAATTTAATCGAAGCAAAAAATTAATAAATGTTATAATAAAAAGTAAATAAAGAAAAATTGATGAAAATTATATATAAAAATAATTGTATTTATCCTTCCTTACAAGAAAAATCATGCCTACCGTTATGTGGAGCACCCTGTACGCACCCATGAGTTAATTTCTCAAATTATAATGCATTCTTATTTTTTACATTTTTGTCATTAAAATTTGCTATATTTTACTTGTATTGTGAAATGATTAAATTCTCAACTATAAACATAAAAATTGAGAACAGCCTTTTGTAACTAAATAACCAATTAACCTTTGTACTATTTACCTTTCTAAAATTCGTTGTTTAATATTAATATAACGCGACTATTATGTAAGTAATTAACACACATTATATGCACATAGCATATTTAATTTTGGACCATGTAATTTTAACAAAATTCAATATATTATAAACGTATGCTATTCATTTATAATATAAATTACATTTTCATTTATTCTACTTCAATACTGTTATATTTGACGATAATGTTATATTATGACAAACGTGGTTAAAAATACAAATTTTTATTAAATTCTGCAGGTATCGTGTGCCATAATATTATACAATTTACCTTGTATGAAATTTTATGAGAATTTGTACAAACATAATTAAATTCGACGCCACTTCCTGTTAATAATTTCCACAACTGTCAGCTTATTGGATAAATTAAAAATATTAAGAATAATACGTTTCTTTGGATGAAACGAGTTGGTTTACTTCAATTCAATCTTATATCGATATTATCGGCATAAAAATTTCTATGTTTCATTTCGATACCAGAACTCGTCGAATATGTATCAGCAGCAGTTTTAATCTATGAAAAATACACGAGTCTTGTGTTAAATATGTAATTAATTTTTTGTTGCTCTGAGACACGTACGCGAAATTTCGCGGGATTTTAACGAGCGAATAATTATAAAAATAAAATACGGTAGAAGGTGATAACGTGGAATCCCAACGCTAAATTCAAGCCCCACAATAAAAATAACATTTTATGCGTCATGTGTTGCATAACAGCCTAATTATATGCAATTTAAATACACAACGATATGGAAATAGAAGCGAACGAATATCGGACGTGCTTAATTTAGATATTCGTGTCACATTCAGAAATTTCATTTCCCACATTATTCAATTTTTTCCTTTTAATATTCGAGGTAGATATTGAATCTATAGTTGCATCTTTGTAACAATAACTCTCGTGACATCTTTTAATAATCATAAACGCGAATAGAAAAAATTAATAATTCTGTCTTGGTGATATAGCACAAAATATAATATCAGATATTATATACAGTGATTCACGAATGTATTCGCACCCCTCCAATTGACTTCGAATGGTTGCTATTTGTTGATGGTACATTTCATGAAATTCTTATAAATACGGTATTATACGTTGGAAGAACTGAGTTTTCAAAGCACTATACATTTTATTGGAAATATGTGATTATAATAACTAAAAATTTTGTAGACAATTTCAACTCACAAGTAGTCCATGAAACACAATTGTCTGGAACGGAACAAAATAGAAGAGACACAATGAAGTATTCAGAAAAGCAGAGAAGCTGTAGAAACGATTTTGGAAACATTTTTCTCAAAATTTCCCAAAGTCGTGACTTTTATAAAACTGATATTTACAAGCTTATTGCTCGTTGAAAACTTCACGTGAGAGTAATTTCTCTGATAAAAAGTCTTTTTCAGTCATTTACTTTGTAATATAAATATTTACCTCATTGAAAAGAAAAAGTTTTTTTAATTTGTCAGCTCAGCATAATGGTTTGAACTCAAAACTTCATAACTTCGCAAATTTCGAAAACTTTGACGTAAAGTTTAGTGACAATATTCTAAAAGATATTTCCGAGTAAATTTATTGACCAACTTTATTTTCACGTTCTCTGTCGTATTAATTTTATGTCACTTTATATATATTTTATTTTGCATGATTATGATCATATGTCAGCAGTAATTAATACATTTTTATTATATTATTTTGATCGAATACAATGTACTTTATAATATATTATTACTATTACTTATTGTTAATATAAAAGAAAAATTATAATGTACAAAATTTGATGCAGAATATTTTTATTAAAAATTTTGCTAGTAATAACAACATAATATTGAATAAAAACTTTTATAATTAATAGTAATTAAATATTTAATAACTGAAATGACCTATAAGCTGCTTAAAGCCAAATCGGATTAATACCGTCCCTTGCAATTTTTTCAATTTTAATACAAGCATACGTTTCACGAATAAAGTTAATTAGCTTCGTAACTCTATTACCTCGAAGTGACGAGCTTGTTTATTACCGCTAAATAATAAGTAATCTGTTTCGAAAACCGTTGTAATTAACTGCGTTTCAAAATAATATCCCTATACTTGCTCACAAAGTATTAAGCAAGGAATAATATATAATTAATCAAATATTTAATTATTCGTTAATTGTAAAATAAATAACATTTAGAACCATCGCGTATGAATGTAAAAGAATAGTCATTCTGACATATGTGGTGCTCTCTTAAGCTGCTAAAATCATTTCACTTTGCGTTCATTACATTTTCTGAGTAATATACAAATTACCATCCCAGCAACTGCATTCGTAATGTGTCTCCATTATGCATTAAAGTTTTGAATAAACTTCATAACATGTTACACCAGTAGTAGTATTTCACATATGGATTAAACATGCTCATTGAACATCGTTGAAATATCCGGCGTGCAAATTAATTGAATACTTCTTCAAGCAAAATTTAAATTTTATTTATTAATATCGGAATGCGAACTTAATTATCAATATTCAAATAACCTCTATTGTTCAACAATCTTGTATGAAATTATGCAAACATAACTGGTATCTTATATGAAGATGTAATGAGAAGAGATATAACGAGAAGAAGCGAGATAGATATAGCATAACTAAAGCACTTCAATGGGACATTACTATAAAAATTTTATTTTTTCTAATTTTTGTCTTATTTTTGTAAAAGTGGTGTGAATGCATTGTTAGCACTCTTCC